CTCTCCCCTTACAAAACTCAATGTGTGCTCACTGACACCACCACACAAAGCTAACTCCGAGCGACCCTCCGAATTAAATGCAAATAAGTGCATACTAGCGACATCTCTCGTCACTTTATATAACTACAACATTAATTATTCCCCTATGCAATTTTTCATCGTATTTTATTATTTTTTTTAATAAAAAAAGAAATATTTTACAAAATAATTCCATTTAAAATGATAATATATTTTAATTTCATACTTTATATAACTGTATACTTAAATTTTCTTTGCATGTCAAAGATTTATGTTCCTGGCGAGATTTTTACCAAACTGCAACCGCAATTTCACGAAATTAAAAAGTAATTAACCGCATTGCAATTGACAACGTATAGTTAACTCGTTCAATCCGCTGTTGCAATGCGTGATTGCAATATGCGCGGCTACAATTTTCAATAATAATTTGCTGCAACTCTGGCGTGAATATAGAAAAAAAGAACACACATTTGCATCACAAGTTAATAATATGCAAAGGAGCCGAAGCAGTGTGCACCGATATTTTCCGTGCGCTGATTAAATATCAGTTCCACATGAGAACATGAAAACATAAGGTATAATTGATAATAAATTTCGCTTTACGGACAATTTTGTAATCTCAAATGCCTATTAATTCAGTTAATACCTAAACATATGTAAATTACGATTGCATAAATTAATTTTTTGTTTAAACATATAGTGCCCAAGTAAATATTGTTACGTTTGAAGTGGTTACGATTACACATTATTTAGCGTTATACAATTTTGTGCAGCGTCTTAAATCGTAATAGATGTGATTAAACACACGTTAACTACAACGCAATGAGGCTTCTTGTGCGATAAAGCGGAAGTAGGTAATTACACATGGCACGGCACAGAGATAATCGGAAGTTGGTAATTTCCAACAGTGAAATCAATCGGAATCAATTAATAGTGACGTCGAACGTTTAATAATACACGCTGTAAGATATAGATAACACATAGTAACAAGTAGTTGTTAGTTGCCTACTTAAGAGTAATATTTTTAACTTGTGACAAATTAAATTTTCTGGTTTCGGTAATAGATGTAATTGCATAGGTTTTAAATGTCAAGATATTGCATGAAATGCTAGAAATTAAAAAATTAATGCTTTCACGTTAAAATCTCTATAATTGTCTTGGATATTTAACAAATATAAATTATGTGATAATTTAATCATGATGTGACAGACGTGCATTATAAAATCTGTACGATCAATATTATATATATTAAATACCTAACCCCATGTCACACATGACATATGACAGCGCCATCTATTAGAGAACGGCTAAATTGTATTTTTAAAATTAAATAGAACCAAAAATCGCGACAAACCGTTGATTTTTCTCAGCATTTTTTGCAGAAACATCCAAACTAATCACCACACCACTTTTAATTAATAATAATGACGTCAAAATTTAATAATACACGTTTTGAGGCACAGATAACACAAAACACACAAGTAGTTTTATGATTACTTAAATATTTAACCTAAATTAAATACATTAGCATATCTGTTTTAATATATCTCTCGCTGGTCAAATAATTGTTAAATTTAACAGCCTGGCCCATTTCGGGTGATTAATTAACGCGACAATTATATCGACCGCTCGTTTTGCAATAAAATGCAAATCGAAAGCGATTTATTCCAACAATTAGACAGAATTTTTGCCACAAAAACATAATATCGATTACGCAATGCGTACGCTTGATTTGACGAATGTGGAATTGGAATTAGAATTGGAATGCTTCATTCATTCGTGGCGCGCGGTATCTTTGTGGTACAATCAAAAACGATTTGGCGTGTGCTAATCGCGTTTTTAATTATTAATTATACGGATAGCGATCTTGATTTTTAGGTTTTACATCTCGGACGGAGCTTATTGATGCGCGCCGCCGTGGTCATCAATTATGGACGTTGGTGTTTTTGAAGAAAAATTATTAATTGCGTGCATAAATCAGTATAATTGGCGAAATCCAGCGTTTAACCCAAGCGATGTCGACAATATTTATGAATATAGAGTATTGCCACAAATTACATAATCATATTAACGCAATGATGCGATGTAGATGTAGATTTGAAATTTCGATTAATTTTGTAAATAAACAATTTGTTAACACGATTTTCTCAACGAGTTTTAAGATTTTGTTAGGTTTTGACATGTTTATAACAATCCAAGCGATTAAAACTTGGATTTGCGACTGTCGGAAGTGATATTTCATATTTAACGTCCAATTATATTTTCGGTGCGTGAAATTTATTGGGTGAGACCAACAGTATCCAATATCACATTAAATTATAGTTGAAAATTATACAATAAAGTCTAACCAATTAAATACTCTGTATAAATACTAAATTAACATCTGTTTGATACAAAAATAGATATAAATGTTAAAAACAAAAGTTTCCGAGCAGGAAATTGAACAATGCGTGCAAAAATTACGCCCGCATATGGACAATACAGAATATTAAGTGAAATGGACCAGTTTTCTTACGTTTCTGCCACGCCAGTCATTCATAACCTCATATACGATGTGTATATTGAGTTGCCTACCCATTAAAACATGGTTAAAATTATGCGTGTAATAATCCCGCACTGAATTGTTATTACGTCGCCATTTGCGTGCAATTATCGTTTTTTCCTTCGTTGGAGAATCATATTCAAGACTCCTGAGGTCAATTAAATGAAAAGTGAAACGATAATGTTTCCTGATTGCAGCGGCGGCGAAACATCACACCGTGCCGGGGCGGGAAATAATGATGTTTATAATAAATGTGCATTCGTGAAACACACGCTCGCTTATTATTAACTTTCCTCGGCGCATCTCACCAGCAGCCGTATATAAATCGCTTTTAATTATATCCGATGTAAATTGCTGATTAATTCATGAGATATAACAAATACATTATGATGAAAAATACGAGTTAATATTATATTTATCCCTTTATCTAATATTTTTTTTAAAATTATTTATTCCATGACGTAATATGGTGTGGTCGTAAAAAATAATGCACGCGCGCATTTTTTGTTCTAAAAATCAATAACCGGTTCGAAAGGAGTTAAAGAGCTAAGTATTTAGGTTAAAGTGCAATTTTTTCCAGCGCTCGCAACGCGCCACAGACTGATACTGCATTAATTACCAGCACGAGTTTCTTAATGGCGCATTCAGTCGATATTTTCAATGTTTTCAATGATTGTAAGTGGAATTTAATAAGTTTAACGAGTTGAAAAGTCGAAAATTGGTGCGTAGGCAATTTTCGCCTGCGGAACTGGTCCAAGAACGATGAAGACGAAATTATCTCCAAAAACGCACGATTGATTACGTGATTTATAATAGTTTAATCATTACTATTACTACATAGCATCCATTTTTTATCCCTTGAAGAGGTTTTACTCAATTTACATTCATATTTCTTAATATTTTTAATTTAATTTACCTATCAGGTATTTATTCTTTAAGCAACAGTGTAGCCTGACGTTTTATCCCGTAATAGCAAGGTTTTTAGTTTTAGTGTTTTTAGTTTTTAGTTAAAATTCACACGTTTTACGAATTATTTCATCCAAAAACTTAGTTTTTATTTATTTCTGAACAAGTTAGGCAACTTTTTAACCACTAAAATAATAAACTACGTTATTGCTAGGTTATGTTACAACGAGAAACAAAAAATAACCAAATATTGGATTTTTACGCGGATAGGCAACTGTTTAATCATTTGTAAGATGGTTATAAACTCAATTACTCTTGTAAAAATGCCGGTAAATATTTCCTGAAGTCTAAATATGAATTCCGCGGCGCTCAGTTGTATTCACTTGTGTTATGTTTAAATGATTTTCTAGTAACGCAACGTGCACCCCAACAAATTAGCTGAAAATCGTGCTTAATTATAGAAATTTGCATTGCAATTTGTAGGGATGTTGGGTTGCATAACCACAACAATATTTCAAATGCTACCATCAATGTCATGTCTTTAAAAAAATATTCTAGCTCATAATTCCTAGAAATTTAAATATTTTTCATCGTTACACAGAAGAACAATATCTTTATAAATTAAGAATAAATCAGCCAAGTCGAATAAATTTCGTAGTTAAACAATCACGTTACTTTCATGAAAAGATGCGAAATCTAACGCCTTTCATTTTGGTGCAAGCAATAACAAAAACATTGATAAACGCGGAATGCAGAGAGATAAAAGTACATTCGTATAAATATCAAGGATAACCATCGTACGTTTGATTACATTGCGTTTATTGTTTTTGTGTGGTGTATTTTCGGACCACACTTTCAACTTTTATATTCGGTTTTTGTTTTGCTTCGCACTTTTTGATTGATGATATCGAAAAAATGTTAACGAGTTGTGTTGTTAACAAGAATACCAATTGAAATGTTAACGACTTTCGATCGATAAGAACTTTCATTGACAAGAACCGGCGCGCCATACAAGCGGAACAATATTACAATATCAGATATAACAATGGCCGAATTTTGTTAAATCATATTTTATTATAATCAAAAGACACTTACCTTTGCATATATTCATCGCTCTTCGGGTGCGTTGAACCGGCTACGTTGAAGAAATGAATTCATTAATTAGACAATTAATGTAAATTTCACAAGAATTAATCTGCATTGTTAATTTTTGCACGCACAAACTTTACTGACGCGGACTTGATTTGCGAGAGGAAGTTAAGTTTTATAGAGGGAGCAAATTTGACATTTGACACATTTTTCAAAAATTGATTTTAATTCAAATTTAGTTTCATGATTTTTTCTTTTATTTTCAAACAAATTAAATTTAAACACTTATAAAATAGAAGAAACGTATTTTTGAATATATTATCATAGTTAACTTTTACTACGAGACTAAATGTTTTAATAATAAAATATATTTAGTTAAAACTAGAGTTTAACATAGGCAACCATTCATACAAGTACAACAGGTGTGCGTGATTTTTCTAACCTGAAGGTTACGTCCAATGACGGTTTACGGTTGACGTTGGATGTTTTGCATTAATTCGAAAATTTTCGCTCGCGACAATCGTAAATGTGATGCTTTTATATAAAACAATATGAAACACGCCATTATTTTCAAGCATTCATTGCCAAGTGCCTACTGTAAGTCATCATCAATCAATAAACAGCTCAAAATATTATAAACTCTAACAAAATTCCAGAATGTTTCACATTTTGCTCAATCAACAACTAGTCCACAATGCCCAACAATCATGTGAATCGAGTTCTGCGAGACAGCGAAGTTGTCAGTAAACGGATGCTGGAATCCAAGAAGGAAATAGAAATCTTGAAAGCTGAATATGAAAGACTTCTTGAGCAGAGGTTGCAGGCTGGAACATCAAATATAACTGACACTGACAAACAGAAGGAAATATTGAGCAAAAGGGAGGAAAAGGAGGTTCAGGGGGTTGTTCCAGTTAGCAGTGCAAATAGTATTAATACTCATAGACTTAGTATCAAGAGGAAACCATCTGAAAGGCTAGACAGTTCTAGAACAGTTTTAGAACAAGGATCACCACCAAAAGTAAGACATTATAATCCTGAGGATGCTAGGGAGTATATTAGGAAGCAGAGGGAGAGGAGGCTGCAGCAGCAGAAGCAGATAAAGGAGACTGACAATGCTTTACAGCTCAAGAAACAAAAGTTGAAGGAATTACATCAGAAATCACTACAAATTGTAAGTTTTTTGTTTTTAATTTTATCACAATATCTTTACTTGCAATAAAGTGTGAATTTAATTTGTTTCTCTATTAAATTATGAAATTAATGACTTGATTTCTAATCGTTATTTTGTTATAAAGGTTGCTAGAAATAGACAAAGATCAAAATCAAGAGAGAATCATAAAATTGTTGAAGAAACAGCACCGCCTGCACCAACTGTACCACCACCACTACAAGTTGAACCAAAACCACCTCTCATTGATATAAAACCTTTGGTTAAAGTCGCAACAATACCGCTCAAACCACAACTTGTACAATCGACTTCAAACATAACTTATCGAAGTGATAAAACCACGTCAAATGAAGAAGTAAAGTACGTTAAATCATCTGCAAAGTCGGATGATGCTAAAATCAAAGCAGCGACATTAATTCAGGCCTATTTTCGTGGACACATTCAACGCAAACTTTACAAAGACGCTCAAAAACAACAAAATGTAATCACATTTGACTCTAGACCATTAGAAACAAAAGAAGACAAAGTCAGTGAAGAAAAAATTCCGGAAACAATTCAAGAACCGAAGAATAAGTTTCCTGGTTGGCTGCAACCTGAACCTACATATAATCCTTATAATTTTATCAATTCAGTAAAAAGAAAATTAAACGTGGCATTAAGCACGCCTGTGAAAACATCAGATGTGGGTATACAAAGTTCTTTATCAGAAAATCTTCCAGTTGTAACTAAAACCCCTCAAAGTTACAAGGAAATGAGAGAAAAGATCGAATTAAGTTTAAGCAGTAAAAAATCCGAACAAGAAATCAACGCTAAAATTGAACGCAGCCTTGAAACCATCAGAAATATTCAACGAAGGGAAAAAGAAAAGGAAGCATCTACAAAACATTCCATTAAAGGTACAAACACTGACTTTATTGATTTGGATGTCAAAAGATTGGAAAAGTTGAAACTGCAGAGTGATCACAGTGATTCAGACACATCCAAAAATATACCTGATATATCATTCGAGAGCAAATGTAAATCAGCTACATCCACTTCAGCTGTTTCGGTGTTTAGCATTCCAAAGGACCCACCACCGAAACCAAAACGGCTTTCAAGACATGACGCACACGTTTCATCAAAGAGTAGCACTTGTACAACATCAGAAAAGTTTGCTAAACATGCAGCGGAACATTTGGATGAATACAAACTTAACATTGATGTAGAAAAATTAAAACAAATCAAGTTGCAAAGACGGTTAAAGCATGCACCAGGTTTGGAAAACACAATGTTACAATATGACTCCACTAGTATTAAAACTGCTCAATCATCTGGTCAATCAAATCCGAAAATTAATAAAAACACTAAAATTTCTTCTAATTCTGAGCCAGAATCAACAAAATCATATTCAATTCGTACAGAAAGTCAACAAAATTCATCTAAACATAAGAAGGACTCAAAATCTCAACAATCTGATGTTTTACCGGGTAGTACACGACGTGATAGTATAATATCAGGTAATATTTCACGTTATACGAAAAGTTTTGACTCTTATAAGTCAACTCCAACACAAGCCAAGCAAATGGATGTGTCGCACCATGAAATTTCTGAAATTCCCGAAGATTTATCAAGTTTTCGGCAGTATATGAAAGAAATGGACGACACACAGAAAATAATGCACACACCGTTTCAACCACGTGTACAAGCTGTATCACGTTTGAACCCTGAAAAACGTCTGCAGGAAGTTATAACTAAGGTGCATCAATTGGATGAAGCAGAAAACGTGATAATTCTAATAAATCTACAAGTGATAAACCAAAATTAGCAGTAGTAGATGCTCCAGAATCAGTAAATATTGAATTAGTACCACCAAAAGTTAATTTAGTGCTGAAATGCAACGATGATAACAAAAACAATAAACTTTCGACAAAAACTTCATCAGTTCAACTGGCAAATGGTACAACAAATCAAATTCATGTTAAATTCGAAGCAGAATTGCATATGCTGAATGATTTTAATGAATCTTTGAAGCATATTATGAGTATTGAGAAGGTATTGTTAAATTTTTACTTATTTTAGTAAATATTTTATTAATAAAAATAATTTTTGTATTTCAGTCAATGTTAGACCTTCAAACAAGATCTAATCTTCACCCAGCAGCTAAAGAAACAAAAGACACACAAACTTCTGTGATAACTTCAGCACCAACATCAAAATCAAACATATCAAACGCGTCGATAATTGAACAGTCAATAAACTTCTCTCGACGTTCCGATTTTGACGAAGAAAGTATACATAACGATGATAAAGTGATTGTTTTGCATCAAAACAAGAACCTAATGATGGATTTGAATCGCAGTAGCTCAACGATGAATATTTCGGATATAACGCTGAACGATACGATAAATTCGATGAATTCGTTACAAAGTACACAGCAAGCTATCACGAGCGCACTGAATGCCACCGATATGGACGCGGCGACGCCGAGGGATAGCGCAAATCAGCTTCATAAACTCAGCAGCGTTGGTCTATCAGTTGGCATGGTAAGTATGCGTGATGACGATGTCGTCATATTACGCTGAATGTTTGTTTACATGCTGTGCGTGTGTCGCGTTTCACAGGTAGATAATTTCCTATGGAATATTACTTATGTTCACAGTTTGACCAGCTCATTAGGGACGAAGATGCGCGTATCGATAATTTAAAGGCTGTGTTGAAAATCCGCGAGAAAACTTTGCTGGATCGCACGAAGGGTGAATTAACTTGGTTGGAGATACAGAAAAAGTAATTTTTTATACGTTTTTGTCTGTAATTTGGATAAATTTTAAAATATTTTGTATTTTAGGCATTTATTGGAAACTGGTAAACTGCATGAAGCGTCCCTGTTGAAAAAGAAACAACGCGGTATAATTCTCCGCCTGCAGGAGGAGAAGAACGAAATGCAGAAGTTGCGAGAGGCGCAGAAAGCCGCCTCCAAGGAACGCAAGATTAAATTGAAGGAGCAATGCGCCGCCATTAAGGCGCAATTGAGTCGCCCGAATGTTGTGACGCGTATCCGGCGTAGTTCTGAGCGTCGTGCTTCCGGGCCAGTGAAGGTGTACCAAAGCGAGTATTATCAGAGCGAAACGAGCGTTTCAGCTTCCGACAGCGTCGTTTACACTTCCCACAAGACGTCTGTTTTAAGTCACGTGGCTGAGGACATTCCAAGTCGCACTGAAATGGCGAAAAGGTAAAAATATATGATGCGAATGAATTTTTTAAACTTTTCCAAGTCTTCTAATTCAATAAAATATGATCTATCGAATGTTTAAAGTTAAGTTTAGGGTTTTTGAGATTAAAACCACGCGCGCGACTAATATTAGACCGCGGCGGCGGGTTGGCACCCAGCCAAATGGTCTGTTTTCCCAAACGGTGCGCTAATTTTAGCGCGGCGAGTCATTACTGAGTCGTTGTCGCGCGCTGGCGGTAAACAATAGTGCGTGCATGTAAGGGATGCTAATCTGAGGGATGTGTTTGTGTTTGCAGGTCGCTGCAGATGCGCGAGGCCGCGCTTCAGCGGCGTAGAAAGGAAGCCGAGGACCTGCTGCGATGGCACCAGAAGCTGCTCAAGGAGGAGCGCAAAATCGCCGATCTCGAGATGGCAGCTAGTAATGTCATCAATCAGGTGCCCGCCGCGCGTGCTGCACCAATATGGAACAAGGAAAGTTCAGTGAAAAGTTTGGACGCGTCGATTAGCTCAAAATATTCAACTGATTTCGATTCGGATAAAGAAAATGGCGCTGTTGAGGAAAGCGCAAAACAATCAGAATCATTCAATGAAATTAGGCAGAATATTAATAATATCACGGATGAAATCACCGAGTTGTACAAGTTGTCGTCGATGCAGAAGAGCGCGCTCAATGATAGTGTGCAAACGGAGAGTTCCGGAAGTAAGAGTCACACTTCCAAGGCGAGTATTATCAGTAAACCTAAGTCAGTACCTGAGGCTAGTGTCCGAGTTGAAGCAACAATCGACACGGAGAGCCAGCAATCTTTTATTCGAATACAATCGAAGGAATTGTCATTGCATGATGTGCAGCTGCCTGAACCGGCGGAAACAGAGGATGATTTTTCTTCAATTAAGTCTGATTTGCAGAATGAGGTGCACTCAGTAGTGCCAAGTCATGATGAGGCTAGTGATGCTAGCCAGACTTTAAAAGAACAAACTAATTTATCAGTTAAGTCAAAAAGTGATACAGAAGAATCTAAAGGGGAAGAATCACTTCAGGAAGAAGAACAATTTCATACTGTAGATACACAAAGTTTAAAGATTTCTGTTGAGGACTTAAATTTAGATGAATCTCAATCTATTCTTGAAGAAAACGTAGTTGAACAATCGAATAACATAGAATTACCGTCTTCAAAAGACATTAGTGATGATACAGAAAAAATAAGTGCCTCAGAAATTTTAATTGATGTTAATACTACTATTGTTGAAGAAGATAAATCGATGTTACCTTCTTCTAAACTTGATACCACGATTGATGAACCTTCAGTTTTATTCAAAAATGATCAAAAATCAGAATCAGCTTCGGTATCAGTTGATTTTCACATTGAAAACAGAGAAAAAGAAGAAATTTCTAATATTGATGAAGTAGATGATGTAAAAGAAGACAGTATATCTTCACCAATCGAAGAAAGTCAGGTTATTATTGAAAAAGAAGATATTCAAGATGTTGAAAGTGTTAAAAGTTCAGAATCTGAAGTGCCTGAAGAAGTTTTACCTGTTATTGATGTAAAAATTGAAGAAAAGAAACAGGATACCAGCGATGTTGAAGTATTAGAATCAATTAGTAAAGATTCTGAAAATACTGACTTTACAGAGGAGATTGAATCAGTTGATGAGTCCTCTACAAAAAATCTACTGTTGATGTGAAGAAACGCGTTTCTGAGATTCTAGCAGATGCCAATTTGAACACATCGATTGAAGAGAAGAGTCCTCGGCTTCCTGATATCTACGTGACGACTTATGATGTTATTAGTCCTGATAATTCACCAGAATTAGGTGCGCACAAAACCTTTACATTAATTTTTAACGTTTTTCTAATAAATGTTGTTTTTAGGATCTCCAGTTGATAGTTCTAAATCTAAACCGAAAGACATCAACGCCATCGGTAACGAAGCTCAGGAACTTCTTAGAAAACAACTTGCGATCGAACAAGAAGTAAAAATTAATTCTCTTATTATATTTTTGGTTTTTAATGCATTATTCTATGTTTTTTTTATAGATTAAACAAATCGAACGCCAGCAAAAACAACAACTGCCTTACATTTTCGTCCGCGAAATACCGAACAAGCCGCCACCTCCATACACACCACCTGTACAACAACCCACATCGATTGTTCCAACAACCGCCGCGGAAATTGAAGAATTATCACCACATCTCGCCGAGATATTCCACCGCGGTTTTGTTGAGAAAACTCTAGAATATGTCACATTCCCTGATACACAGTTAAATCAACTCGAAAACGTCGACAAAGTTTGCGCTGAATTCCTCTTTGACATTTCAAAAGAATACGCAATCAAACATTACAAACAATTCTTTGAACCTGATGAAAAAGCACCCACGTGGATGCGTTTAAACAAACCGAAAACATTCAAACGACCACACAACCAGCGCAGTTTAGAACTCTTACTAAAAAAGAAACTGAAACAGCTGTTTGCGTTTGAAAAGTCGGACTGTAAAGAGAGTATGATCATCAAATGGAGCCGCAAAAGCGTGATCACGTCGATGAGCTGCTGGTAGTTGAGTCACAGTCTGAAGAAGCTGAATGGACCAACTATGATCAAGACGAATTGATTGTACGTGAAGAAGTGACCACCGGCTTGCTGGATATGCTAATCGACGAGACTGCCGTTTGTCTAGAGGAGATATTCACCAAACGGCAGATGAGTTAAGTCATTTGTTAACATTTAACATTAATTTTTCGTACTGCTCATTTAAATAATAAGACTTTAATTTTTAAATAAAACAATGTTTCGAATATCTTCCGCTAGGTGTCGCTGCCAGTGCCATTCGCAACGAAATAAAACATGTTTTCAATGTTTTATCGCTTGATACGGCGGCGTCCTCCAACACTGCACTTGCGCACTCTTGTTGTTGTTTCGAAGGTGTGAAGAAAAAAACATTGTTGATTAGAAAAGTAGATCTCAATCGAACATAAATAGAATCACATCGTGCACACTCGCTTAAATACAAAACTTAACAAAACTCACACGCATATATGTCACAAAACTGAACGCAATAAATAATTTACATTTCGCAAGTGCAAGTTACGAGTCGGACTTTTCGATCGGTTTACCAAACTCATCGATTTCGATCGACGGTATCAGTGGCGGCATAAATCCATACTCGAGACGAATAGAACTACCAAAACTGTGGCGTGGGTTCCTGTATTTCCGGACTTGTTGATCGGTGAGCTGCGTCGATGGTAAGTACTCGTGTATTGTCTGTAAATGTTGCGATGCTTTAAATGGCGGACCATGTGCGGCCGGTGGCGGATTAGTTACACTTGCAACACTTATTTTCGGTGGTTTCATACCAATATAATCATTGAATTTAACCGTGTGATAAAACTGCGGATGATTTCCCAAATGTTGATAATTCGGTGGGAAACTCTTTGGTTTCTTGTGTCCCGAATGACTTATCTGATAGTTATGGTGTTGATGATGATGATAATGACTTGGTTGGTAACTGGGCGCGTACGAATAAGATTTCATGGGGACTTTTTGCACCTCTTGATGATGCTTCAAAGGAACAAACTGCGGAATGAGTTTTGTTACTTGCGGAAACGGCTCGAGAAGCACCGACGGTTGATTGTAATGATGTTGGTGTTGATGATGAAGACCAAAAGGTTTCTGAATGTAATCCGCGACTGTTTTCACTGGTTGCGGGAGGAAAACTTGTCGGACTTGAACGGGTTGTGGTAATTCCGGCTCAACTTTTTCTAATTTCGTCACTGGACCAACAGGGACCAGGACCTGTTGATAAGGAGGAGCATTTTGGACTTTGTAATCAAACTGTCCAGATTCTTGTTCCTGATCTTGATCTTGGTCTTGGTTAATACTAGGCCCCAATCCAGAATTATTATATTCAGTTATAAAAGCTTGTGGATTTGGTAGTCTTTCAATAGAATATTTCAATAAATTCGCTCCTAGATCAACATTTTGTTTGATTTCATCAGATTTTGTTGGTTTCTTATCATTCTGAACGAATTCAAACTTTCCAAGGTAATAAGGAACACTTTTTTGTACTTCCACAACCACTGCGTCATGCTTCCCATTATGGTTGTGCTGATTATCAACCGATTGCAACTGGACCCCGGCAGTAATCGGTGCAAGAAATGTGGTCCCCAATGGCCGCGGAGTGACAATCAGTGGTTGCGTTGCGTGGTACAACGACGAGGAAGTTTTGACCGTTTTGATTGTACTCTGCGTGGTGGAATAGTTGTTTTTATCGTCGTATTCTAAGTTGTTTTCGTCCAGATCGGCGACGATAATCGGCTGGCGCGATAATGGAGCTGGTTTGGTGATAGTGAGAGGAGTGGTCGCGCTTGGGTATGGACTAGGCGTGGTGCTGGTATCACTGGTACCACTTTCGCCATCCACTTTAACATCGACATTCTTTCGGCGTTTGACGTAATGCCGTTCGTATTCTTCGATGATTGCCTTCGCAGTGTTGCTTTCAACCAGGACATGTTCATGTTCATCTTTATCTTCCTTCTTTTTCTCTTCATCCTTTTTTTCTTCTTTCATGTTTTCCACGACGACATTTTTAGGTTTCTCTGGTTTTTCTTCAACTTCCGGTTGTGGTTGTGGTGCAGTTGGTTGAATATGTGTCACTAGATAATAATTTTGTGGTGGGGGTGGACCATAATCATTATGTGGTTGGGGTTGGGGTTGTGGAGTGATATACACAACATTTTCATTCGGAGGAACCGGATGTAACTGTTGCGGTACTTGTGAATAGTATAAAAGTGGTCCTGGTCCAACTGTTTGTGCCGGTTGAGTAGCATAGGCATCCTGGATAGGTGCGCCCTCTGGTGGTAAATAGTAAACAAGATTCCCATTGGGTTCCGGTTGGACCGGAAGTTGATTATCAACTGGTTTAGCCACCTCGGATTGTAGATAAAGGATATTTTGATTTGTTTGGTGTTGTGGCAGTTTGCTCTACACATTAAAACAATTTTAAGATGATTTTGAGGTTATTAAATATTAAAAGATTACTTTTTGAAGTGCTTCGACAGCATCCTTTCCAATGGCGATCTGTGTGATGGACTTGCTGTGCGGACTCACGTTGGCATACTCGATGAACGGTTGGTAGCTCCAACTGCTGTCCAAATGTCTGCTTAAACAAAAGAATCACCTTAAAAAGTATCAATTGTACTCTGGTTGTAATTACAATCAAGAGTCACGTGCAATTTGCCGCTTTGATCAATTTAATGATTTCGTTAATTAACCAGCAGGGAAAGTATTTCGACGTGCTCTGTTATTAATCTCTGTGCATTATTTCCGGTAATTAGCGGCATATTAAGTGAAAAATTAAGCAAAAACAGATCGGCGTACCTTGCGTTTTCGTTTGATGACGGCTGTTGCAAATTTTGAGCCTGATCACTCGGAATTGTACTTCCTGGTGAGTAATCATAGGCAACTTTTGTTGTTTCCTATAAAAATACAAGTTTATTTAATCATTATCCTATATATGAGTAGTGGATATTTAAAACAAAAACTGTTTGTGTCGAAGTAAAAATGAACAATAACGAAAGTGCACGAACAATACTTTTCATTATATTGTTTGCCACCAAATTAAGGACACATCTCTTGGGAACTGAGAGTATTGCACTTTGCACTTAATTACCCAATTAAAAACATTCACTACAAGCACTTCATCATGGTATACTTCGGATCAGATAGTGAGATGCTATCAGTGATAGCAGCACAATTAAATGCGGTGTAATTCACATCAAGTGAAAAGTGCATTTGACCCGAAAAACTTACGATATTTGTTGCTTCAGTGTGTGAATCTTCTGCTGGAGGTGAGACTGTTATCCCATCGCAGAAATTCAGCGTCAATATTGACGCTAGAAGTATCTAAAACAATTAATTTATATAAATAAAACTTTTTGTGAGTTTGGTGTATGTTTGGTTGCCTATGCATGGTAATAAACACATATTGACAGTAATTAGTTTAATTGAGTTTTATTGCAAAAAACATTATTTTTTACGGTTTTAAATGTTTTTACCAGATAAACAATTTAATTAGCTTTGTTTTGATGTATCACAATCTTGAAAATTAAAAGTTTGAATGTGAAAAAATGCTTGATGCGGAATAATTTGCACTTTTGTAACAATAATCGGAGCACGATAAAGCTCTAAACATCCGCAGTGCGCTTCGCCAATTTGCGAATATACAATATAAATGTAAATATTATTAATCAAGCGGCGATAATCCCGCATTTATATTCGCCGCGATGCAAATCCGCGGCGAGATGCGAAACGAATAAAAAAGCAGAACGCGGTGAAAATTTCGCGCCGGTCGTAAATACGAAGATAAATAAAGCAAAACGCGTTCCAAAGTCAAAGCATATCGACGGTATCGACGAGTGGATTTCCTGTGCTCCGAGGTTCGCTCCGCTCTGCATTCGCATAATGCAAGAAGCGCAGATTTAATTTGCGGGACGCTCCAATAAACGGCCGTAATAAAATCGATCGATTTGCATCGTAAAAGTTGCAAATTAGAAAAACGGCCGCATGCCTCCGATGTTATTACGTCGGCATTAAAATCTCGACGGAATGTTTGCATTGCATTGTGTTTGCCAGGTGGACAAAGGAAGCAGCAAGAAATGGTTGCTTTCCGCATTCTGCAGGTGTAAATTTTACACATGATGAAGCACTGATTATCAAGTATACCTCGTAGGCACAGAGGAAATGAGAGATGATTAATAAGGTGATATGAGTTGTTTTTTTTTGTAAAAAGAAGTTTCTCACGATCACACTCTAGTCTTATCAATGTCTGTTATTAGTGCAAGGCTAGCTGTGGATATAATTGAAAATTAAACGGTCTCGAGTAGTAATTTTGTGCTTTAACGGGCGCACTTAATTTCATTATAAATACAAATACGGCGGCGCAGCGTCTTGAAATGAGGATAATTTCAGTTTAGTTTTTGCTGCTTACTTATTGATTTCATGCCAACGATGATCGTTAGGTTTCGTTTTAGAGCTTGAGAAATGAGAAAATATGGACTGGATAATCAGCTATACGTCGGGAAAGCAGAATATTAAGCAATAAGCACGAAAAATTTGATAATTTACTTTGCTTTATTAAGAAAACTAGGTTTTACTCGTCGATTTGCTTGTGTTTTTAAGTTTTTCACATGTATTTCAACTTTGTAACATTCAAATTAGTGCAAAATTTGAAAAACATTCATTCAAATATATCACAATTAGAGCTCAAAATAGAAGCATTTTCATCCACATTTTTGTTGCACAAACTTCAAAACTATTTTGCACACCCTGTAAGTTATATTTTTGCAACAAAAAGTAGCTTATGAAATTCTCCTTGGTCTAAACTATCTCTAAACCAAATTTTATCAAAATTGATTGAGTGGTTTATGCGTGAATGCGTCACAAACAAACATTTATTCAAACAAAGTTAAGAAAAAATCTAAAAAATAGCACAAAATATAAAATAAAAAATAGAAAAACGAAATCTATTAATGAAGATGATGAGAGAAAATATATTTACGTAAATTTTGCCACTATTCAATCAGTTTGTGTGTAATCTATGTCAAAAATATCGAAATTGAATGTAACATCTTGTTCGATTGTTCGCCGCGTGCGCGCTGAGAAGATCTCCAGCGGAAAATGTGTCGCGTGCATTCTATTTGCATAAGAGATGCACTCGAGTCGCACATTTAAGTGCCACAAAAGCGAAATAATTTTACGGCCATTATGGCGTTTTGTGCGTTGTTAATGGCGCAGCACGAATGAATGAAGCGCGTGAAAGTAAACATGCTAAACACACTCCAATCGCGCTTGCGCACCTTACTGACGATATTTATTGCATACATCTATTCATGTGAAATTGAAAATGTCAAAAATACCAAACGAAAACAATACCTGGGTGTGCATTAAACACCAATATAACCAAAACCAGACAATTTATAAGCATAAATTTATTAATATTTATTTAGTACAGATTCACGCTGAGAAATGAAAATCTATCAATTTTTAAATTTTAATTTCGTTTTCTCGTTAGATGTCCGATAACCTACTTAAACCGGCTTGCGCATACATTAATCTCGCGATGTTTTGACCGAAAGTGTTACTCCTGTTCTCCTACGACCGAGCCACGAATCCAATTAAAAGCGACTTAAGCTGTCAAAACGTTGACTGAACTTGCGCGCGTTCATCTCATATGGTTTTTAAAAAGTATCTCAATCAATTTACATAATTTTCGTGGGGAAAAGCAAAACCGAGTAAAAGTTACACACAATTTTAGAAACCGAAAAGAGAGGAAAATACGTTTCTAAATTACTTATTTTAAATCTACACATGCCAAGATGAACAATAAATGTTAACAATATGCTGTCGTGATACTTTGTGAATCTTTTACACCGAGTGTTACGTTTATTTCATTAAAAAAAAAAACATAAAATATGTTTTTATTTAATTTTTCTAAATTTAAACACTCTATATGTGTAATTAAACTAATGCAGTGTGTTTGATGAGAATTTAGCCATATATTGTGTTTCTGTTTGTAATTTGCGCAGACATTGTTTTCCATCGTCATGTGGTTGACTCTCGGAAGTTTGCAAAATTTGCATAAAGCTCAAATTAGCATAGTAGCCTCAAATAAAACTAGCGAATTTATTCGAAACACAAACAAACGTTGAAGAATAGCCGCAAAACTTGATTACTCTCAAATCTTCACTAACCTACATTTTAATAATACATTCTAATTGTTTAATCGTGGAAATAAGGTGTAAGTAAACCGATAGTCGATGGATCGATGGATGAAAATTGTAGTTGGCGATATGAATTGCAAATTTATCCAAACGGATGTCGGTTACGGCTGCACGTGCGCAGGAAAACAAGCCGATAAGTAGGGAATAAAGTAATTATATTGTCGCACGCCGTTCACTCGCCGATCAAATAAACAAGTAATAAATAAAATATGACACGTGATAATATACGAGGTTTCTGTGTCACACTGCGTGGTACATACTTGTAATATCATCTTGCGGGTATCCTGTATCCAGTATCCAGTATCCAAATTTTTTGATGATGATGAGGAAGAAGAAAAAACTGATACTTTTTTTTGCGTGCGGAACTTTTATTTTTACTTGAACCACGTGCGAGCGACGCGCCGTGAAAGCGAGATGCTGGGCATCGGCGGCAAGACTGATCTGCTTCGGAAACGGTATCAGCGTTTCATTCGGAAACCTTTCACCGGGCCCGCGTCGCGGCACTGCGTGGAAGAAGTCATCGGCAGCAGCGGCAGCGCATCGAAGACGGTAGGAGAACAGCAACAACAACAACAAGCGGCGAAGAAAAGCAAAAGTTGAGCCAGCGACGCGCGATAACGATGCGTATCGCATCATGATAGTAGTGCTGGTTGCATTCACGCTTCGTTTGCGCCCGGCGTTCATTTAATAAACATAATTCGCGGTCGGTAAAACAACCGCGAAACCAAGTATGATATAATATTTAGAGGAAAAATTTAAAATGAGGAGTTTTTCTGCTTTTTTTTGTATAATTTGTATTTTTTGGTGTTAGTTTTTTTTTTTGGGTTGAGTTAAGTTAGAATTGTGTGTATTGGGTTGCGGTTATTAACTTTAACAACTTTGGAAGCCTTTTTGACAGGGTTTCCATGGGCCAATTGCAACGATTTTTGGATTAATCGATGCCTTTTAGTCTGTTTTATAATTTTTACTATTTTTATTTCGATTTTTTATGATTTTTTCTTAATATTTTTGTTTTTTGTGGGTGCAATGGCGATTTTCAACTTCAACGGCCCATAACTCCCAAAATACAGTTGCCATTTTTAAATTTTTACTATCAATAGATTCTCTATTTATTCCTCTTTAACATGACACCTCAACAGTCATTCTAGGATAAGAAGTAACAAAGTTATCCGCGTTTGAAATTTAAATTTTCCTTTTTTTTTTTCTAAAAAAATCTCTTAAATGCGATAATTCCTGGATTTTGAGGCGCCTTAGCAAATTATTATTCTTAATTTTTTTGTTTTTATTAGTTAATAAACTTGTAATTCTCTTCTTCACTTGTAACTTTTTACTGATGTTCTCCATCTCGTTATGGTTATGTCTGCAGAAATTAATTTAATTTACGACGGCCGCAATTTCTTTATCATACCAAAACGGCCGTCAAATTACGGACGCTCTTCAATCTTTCGTAATTAGAGAAACTTCATTTTCCACGGCACGAGATAAGATGTGATCATCATCAAGACTCCAAATGCGGAAAATCAACAATGAGAACAAGTCTACATACAACTCAACTCCATCTACAGGGCCTTCTTTTTATCAAATAAACTAGTATCAGTAGTAAAATGGTAAAATTTTATGATCCTTTAACAGAAAATGTTATAAAAAGTGAGAGCACATTCCATCACTCGTCGATAAGAGTGAAGATTAGGTGCAAACATGAAAACATCATGTATTGCTACAATTTATGACTTGTTTACGTGCTGTTAGAATATTTTGAGAAAGTTTTGAAGGCATGCGACATCAAAAATATTGAATATATCAGTTACGACACTGGATTTTATTATTATTGGGTGAAAAATATGAAGATCACTTTTTCTTTTTACTTTCTTTAATTCTAAGCGGTCGGTAAATTAAATTGGTCCTAAGTGTATCGACTGCTTTTGAATATAGGTACGACTATGAAGCAATTGAACGCGCGCGCGCGCGCGCTGGTGAACTTTCTCTCCGCTCGGCTGAATGCTGATCGCGGGATGGACGTTTTTATGGTTTGTTTATGTTCTGCGCTGAGCAATAATTACATGCGCATTGCGATCACGCGAACAGCGCGCGAGCAAGGTCGAAGGATGGGACCGTGAACCGTGATGTGAACTTGAATTTACGATTAAGATAACAACTATTTGTCATCAAGCCAGGTAGACAATATAAATTACATTGTGTATAACTTTGTTGGTTTATATTACTTTCCTCATTATAGAGTAATAGTTTCTCGGTGTAACGACAAAAAATATTTTCATTTTTGGCAATTATGAGCTAGAATATTTTTTTAAAGACATGACATCGATGGTAACATTTGAAATATTGTTGTAATTATGATCCCAACATCCCTACAAATTGCAATGCAAATTTCTATAACTTAAGCACGATTTTTCAGCTAATTTGTTGGGGTGCACGTTGCGTTACTAGAAAATCATTTAAACATATCACAAGAGAATACAACTGAGCGACGTGGAATTCATATTTAGACTTCAGGAAATATTTACCGACATTTTTACTAAAATAATTGAGTTTATAATCAGCTTAACACAGATTAAACAGATGTCAATCCGCGTAAAATCCCAATATTTAGTTATTTTTTGTTTTTTGTTTAAAAATTTTATTTCCTGTATGAGATTACGTGTGTTTTCGGCATTAAACATATTTCGGCATATTTGCTGCGCGCTCCTGCCCCGCTCCGGTTTCGATAGATTGGCGCCGATTGAAAAGGCATCTAATTATGTAAAGCAAAAATCAAACACATATCAAAAGCAACAAAAACTTTCTCTCCGCGCACCGTGTGATGCATGTCATACGTGTTTTGCAGGAAGTCGGCATTACATGCATCGAAATGCGTCCGAATAATAAATTATATAAATCCAAACCCAAAAAACCGCTACAATTTCGCTACAAAATCTTTGATTTATCAAGATTCCACATACCTGCAAGCAACAAAAATTTAAATTTTTAATTTACGACTGTTGTTGTGGCTAAACTTTGTGAATTTGACAAATTTTCGGTTTTTTTTTTCGGGCGGAGGTTGTTTATTTCCGCCCAGGTTTCGAATTAATTACAAAACTCACTTTTTCGCTCCAAAAGTTTAAAACTTTTAGCTTTTGTCTTGATGATAGCACATTAAGCGTTGGTTTAGTGTCATTTCTTGAACATGAACACGTAAGTTGTCATTATTTCCACATTAGGCTGCTTCAAGCAAGCGATTTATTTTTTGAAGGCAAAAAAAGAGTTTTTGCTTAACTGTTAAAGTGTTATAATGACGTTTGTTATGTTTTTGATATTTTTATTATCATTTACTAAGTAGATTATTATCAGTAATAAATGTATTGGTATGAAATGTCAAATGAAGTGATTGCAAAGGAAGTGAACTCGATTTAAATATCAACCAGTTATTAATTGGAATTTTCTTTTCTTTTCAGATCAAAGGTAGGTTCAATCCACGACTGCAGGGAGATGAAAATGTGAGTAAATTTTTCCTTCTTAAATTAATGAGTGGTTTGCGCCTGCGTGTATTAAAATGCATTTTATAAATGTGTAATGTGTAAATATAAATTGGGATTAGTGAGAGGAAGCACACGAGTCCGTATGGTTCGTATTAAATTCGTGTTTGGCGTCGTGCTTTTTTCCATTACTGCCCGACGCAGTAAATTAATTTTCGAAAGTCGGATTGTCGAAGATGCCGACGCATAGGCTGCGAGGAGCCTAACCCTAGTCACAAATTATATCCTTTCGAGTCGAGTTGAATTTAGTAATCAATACACAAGTGAGCGCGAGAGTGTAAAAAATACGCGCGACGTGATGGATAATTAGAAAATGGCGAATATTTCATGTTGTCACATTCGAAGCGGAGAGTTCTCGTTAATCAATTATCAATTATGCGTTTCACTGTCGCGGCCACGTACAGCATACTCTTACTTTTTTTTCACGCACGTTTTCTATTAAATGGAAAATTATTTTTCAATCTTTTAGACTGATATTATTATAAATGTATGTTTGTCACGCTATTATGGAAAAACTAATCAACTGATTTTGATAAAATTTAGTTTAGAGATAGTTTGGACTTAGGAAAATAATTTAGGATATTTTTTGTGGCAAAAATATAACTTGGAGGGCGTGAAAAACAGTTTGCAAGTTTGTACATGTATTAAAATGCGTTCAAATGATAAATTATATAAATCCAATCAAAAATCACCTCAATTTTGTTACAAAATCTTCAATTTATTAAGTATCTACGTATTTACAATCAATAAAAATTAAATATTTTGATTTATGACTTTTTTTGATTTTTTTTTTAAAAAAAAAAAGCTTAAAAGCCGCGGGTAAAAGCAAGTTCTCGATAAATTCTCATTAGTATTGATTGTACTAACAATAATTATTAACCCAAAAATTTGAAGAATTTGAAGTAATATTATTGCAAATGTATGTTTGTCACGCTTTTATGGAAAAACTGGTTAACCAATTTTGATAAATTTTGGTTTGGAGATAGTTTAGGCCTAGGAAAATAACTTAGGATACTTTTTGTGGCAAAAATGTAATTTGAAGGGTGTGAAAAATAGTTTGCAAGTTGGTTCATGCATTAAAAGCGTCCAAATTATGAATTATATGAATTTAAACAAAAACCACTTCAATTTTGCTTTAAAATTTTGAATTTATCAAGATTCTACATACAAACAAGCAACAAAAATTTGAAATTTTAATTTCCCACTGTTTTTGTGGTTAAACTTTATTTAAATTTCGATTTTTTTTTTCAAAATTTTAAGCAATAAAGCTTAAAAGCCGCGGGTAAAAGCAAGTTCTCTATAAATTCTCATTAATATTGATTGTACTAACAATAATTATTAACCCAAAAAGGTAAACCAAAAATTGCGATGGCGTAACGCGACGCGACGTTATTAATAAAATGAGTAAGCGCAATTTATTCGCGCGCGCACAGGGATTTCACCAAATCATAATAGAAACAAAAAATACCGCTGTCTATGCATGCAATATATCGAGCATGAAGGCAGAAGGAAGCATGTGTGCCGCAATTATGAAATTATGAAATTATCAAAATGTTGCATAACTCAATCAACTCTGCCTGAAATGCAAGCCGAAAGCACACAAAACAAGCCTCACATCTCACATCTTTAATGTGTCTTTTTCTACTCGTACGTCTATTCGATTGTGAAATCGAGAAATGGTGAAATTCAAATCAGCATTACTAGAAAATATCAAATATCGCTAATAAAAAATATTTGCAAGAGTAATAAATAAGAGAAACGTCAGTTGTCCGGCGTGTGTGATGCAAAAATTTTCATCAGAAAATGAAAAGAAAAGTAAAGTGCGTCGTAAATTCATACACAGCCTGGTGTAATATATCAATCGGCAACAATCGAACGAGTTTATACAGGCAT